TTTCACTCTCGTCACCCAGGCTGGAGTGCAATGGCACAATCTTGGCTCACTGCAACCTCCACCTCCCGGGTTCAAGCAATTCTCCTGCCTCAGTCTCCCAAGTAGCTGGGATTACAGGTGCCCACCACCATGCCCAGCTAATTTTTGTATTTTTCTAGAGATGGGGTTTCACCATGTTGGCCAGGCTGGTTTCGAACTCCTGACCTCAGGTGATCTGCCCACCTCGGCCTCCCAAAGTACTGGGATTACAGTCGTGAGCCACTGTGCCTGGCCACCTTCTAGGCTTTCAACAAACATTCATTGAGAACCCACTATGTGCCACTATTCTGAATCCTGGCGTTACATACATGAACAAAGTCCCGCTCTCCTAAAGGAGACAGACACTAAATAAGAAATGAGGCCCCTAAACAAGCTCATTTGAGAGAGTGATAAGGACTCTCAAAACAGGGTAAATGAATTGAAGGTGACAGATATGGGGGAGGGCAACATATTGCTGGAGTGGCACAAAAGACATCTTTGAAGAGATGCCACTTAAGTTGAGAAATGAATGAAGAAAAGCAACCAGGGACACGTGCAGTGACTCATGCCTGTAATCTTGGAGCTTTGGGGGGCCAAGGTGGGAGGATTGCTGGAGCCCAGAAGTTCAAGACCAGGTTGGGCAATATGGTGAGACCCTGTCTCTAGAAAAAAACATTAAAATTAGCCCAGTGCAATGTTGCGTACCTGTAGTTCCAGCTACTCGGAAGGCTGAGGTGGGAGGAACCCTTGAGCTGGGGGTGTGAAGGCTCCAGTGAGCCAAGATCGCACCAGTGCACTCCAACCTGTGTGAGAGAGTGAGATTCTGTCTCAAAAAAACAAACAAACAAAAAAACAAAACAAAAAAGAAAAAAAAGAAAAAGAAGAAGAAAAGAAAAAGGGAGAAGAGAACCCCAAGCAGCAGAAACAGCAAATGTCAAGATCCAGAGGCAGGTGGTGTAACGTTGGTGTGTTTGAGGGACAGAAAGGGGGCCAGTATGGAGATGGCTGGAATAGAGCAAGCAAAGGAGAGTGGCAAGAAATGAGGTACAGAAATAGGTAAGGCCAGGTCTACGGGGGCCCTATGGGCCATGACTGGGAGTTTTCTTTTCTTTTCCTATTTTATTATTAGAGATGGAGTCTCACTCTGTCGCCCAGGCTGGAGTGCAGTGGCACAATCTCAGCTCACTGTAACCTCCGCGTCCCGGGTTCAAGTGATTCTCCCGCCTCAGCCTCCTGAGTAGCTGGGGTTACAGGTGCGCCACCAAACCCAGCTAATTTTTGTAGTTTTAGTAGAGACGAGGTTTCACCATGTTGGCCAGGCTGGTCTCAAACTCCTGACCCCAAGTGATCCACCGGCCTCAGCCTCCCAAAGTGCTGGGATTACAGGCGTGAGCCACCATGCCCGGCCTCCTATTTTATTTTTTTGAGACGGGGTCTCACTCTGTCACCCAGGCTGGAGTGCAGTGGCACAATCTTGGCTCACTGCAGCCTCAATGTCTCAACCCAGGCAACTCCCCCTTCCACCTCCCGAGTAGCTGGGTCTACAGACATGTACCACCATGCCCAGATAATTTATTTTTATTTTTTGTAGAGATGGACTTTCACTATGTTGTTCAGTCTGGTCTCAAATAGCTAGTGAGATCTCTTTAGCAGCCCCAGAACTGAATGATGGCAACAGCACGGTTGTATGAAGGTGCTCAGGCCTCCCTCAGATTGAGGGAGAGGATATGGGAATGGCCTTGACCCACAGCATACCCAGTAGAAGGGGACCCAGGAGGTCAGAGAATCATGAGACTCTTTTTTCTGTGAGGTTGGTGAGGAGTGGAGGGATTCAAAGGAAGGAGAGTGCCTCCAGCATCATTTGGCCTTACTGTGTCTCTGGAACTAATCATGTTGGTCCCTATCTTTCTTCTACCGCTCCCCTTCACTATCTACATTCGTACCTTTGGGACTTTTCCTGTGCTACAGAGACAGAACCTGGAGAAATAATTACTAGCATGTGAATGCCTATAATGTACCAGGCACCATGCTAAAACACTCTACATTCATTCACTAGCTCATTTAATGCTCCTTCAACTCTATGGAGCAGGATAATTATTTCCATTTATTTATTTGTTTGTTTGTTTATGTATGTACGTATGTATGTATGTATGTTTTGAGACAGAGTCTCACTCTGTCGCCCAGGCTAGAATGCAGTGGTGTGATCTCAGCTCACTGCAACCTCTGCCTCCCGGGTTCAAGCACTTCTCCTGCCTCAGCCTCCCGAGTACCTGGGATTACAGGTGCGCACCACCACGCCCAGCTCATTTTTGTATTTATTTATTTATTTATTTATAGTAGAGACGGGGTTTCACCAT